GCTGTCATGACATTAACGAACGTAAGGCGGACTGCCCTGAATGCATTAACTGCATCATAGCAAACAGAGATTCAAAAGTTAAAGTGGATACACAGCATGCAGCGTATGCAGCAAACTGCCCAACATTCCATGCGCACATCCAGAAGATTAAAGCACGTACTGACTACGGCGAGGACAACTAATTTAATAGCCCAGCAAGCAAGGCATCGTCTACCTACTACAACAGCCAGTTCACTTAATAACAAGCGCAACTCTCTAGGAAGCAAGTCAAGTATTTTCACAGTTAGTAATTTTACCTTAAAAGTCAATTAATTTACAAAAGTAATGGAAGTGAATTCAAGAACAGAGGAAAGCAATGTGCTCAAGTTTGTCCAAATCAACCTCCAAAGAGCGCGCGCGGCTACTGCACAGCTAGTGCAATATGCTATGGAGGAAGAGGCGGACTTCCTTTTAATTCAAGAACCTTTTCTTTATGCAGGGCAAGCAGCAGAATTTCCCCTCCAATGGACCGTCATCCAGGATTCAGGAAGTGAGGGAACAAGAGCGGCAGTAGTTTGTTGCCACAGCAGATGGTTGCCAGTTGTGCTAGCAAAGTCAAGAGACATGGTCACAATTGCAGTCGAGGCTATGGGACTGAGTGTCCTGGTCACGAATGTTTACATTCCACCTACAGTAGACGTTTCTCCCACATTAGATGCCTTGCAGAATATCCTTACGTCCTACCCGCATGCACACCATGTATTGGCAGGAGATTTTAACTCTCATGCGGAGGACTTCGGATATCCGACCACAGACCCAAGAGGTAGAGAAGTTGTGGACTTCATTGCATGCAACGGACTCATTCTTCATAACGTGCCGGACAGTCTGCCGACCTTCGAGACCCAAATGGGAAAAGGATGGCCCGACATCACTCTGTCAACAGCGCGTCTGGCTCAGAAAATACAGCACTGGACCGTAAGTGACACTCCCTCAAACTCGGACCATCGCTATATAACGTTCCAGATAGGTCAGCCACATGCGCAGTTTATGAACAAGCGTTATAGAACCAATGGCAGAAAATTAAAACAACTTGTAAGCAGGCTAGGACCAGTACTAGAGCAGGTGGACGAGGCACTTATGAAATGTCAGAACATAAAGGATGCTGACGACTTAACCACCAGTATGATACGAGATATTCAATCTATCTGTGATGCCACCCTAGGCCTGAAATCACCAAAAGTTTTAAGAGTGGCAAACTGGTGGACGAAAGAGCTCCGTGCACAGCGCAGTCGCACCAGGGCACTTAGGCGTAAGATGAAGAGCGAAAGAGACCCAGACAGGAGGCAAGCCCTTAGTGTTCTTTATAATAAAGAGCAAGCTCAGTACAAAAGGGCAATTGCAGCCGCAAAACTTGCCAGCTGGAGGGAGTTCTGTACTAAGAATGTAGAAGTCTATGGTGCTCTCCACAAGATAGCTTCGAACAAAGTTTACAGACCACCGGAGCTAAGAGCCTTTGCAGGGCAGCAGGCTGGACACATAACAGAAATCACGCTCAGGACAATTCTTGACGCCGTACTTCCGGAAGAGGATATTACAGATCCGTCCGACCACCAGGCTTATACGCTGCACACATCTGTCCCAGATGATATGCCATTTACGGAGAAGGAAGTCTCCGCAACGATCAAAATTCTCCCGAAAAGTAAAGCCCCTGGTCCGGACTCAATAGACTATCCAATCTTGAGAGCAATACATAAAGCAAGATCCGGCTTTCTCACGCGTTATTTTAACAAACTGCTAGCACTGCAAAGCTTTCCGGAACCTTACAAAACGGGGCAGGTTGTGCTCTTTAAGAAAGAAGGGAAGGATCCAAACAGCCCATCCTCGTTTAGGCCGATTTGTCTTCTCCCGGTAATAGGGAAACTCTATGAGAAGCTCCTAGTCCAGCGGCTTAAATTTCATATGACGCAGAGTGGGGCAATCTCTGACGCACAATATGGATTCAGAGAGCTACGCTCAACGATTGCTGCCCTATCAAAGATAAGAGACTATATCAGCCACTTGCATGAAAGGAAACAGCATGCAGCGGTCCTAAGTCTGGACCTGCAAAGCGCATTTGACTCTCTGTGGTGGCCCTCAATTTTAGAGGCACTGCACCAGGCAAGGATCCCTGATAACCTCTTGCAGGTTTTCAAGCAATACCTGTCCAATAGAAAGTTCATAGTAACACACACTGGCGGTGTCATAACCAGAAGCCAGACAAAAGGCTGTCCACAGGGATCGTGCGCGGGTCCAGACTTGTGGAATGCAACTTTCGATTCCATCCTACGATACGAATGGCCGTCCCATACCCAGATAGTAGCCTTTGCGGATGACGCGACCTTTGTGGTGGGCGGCAAGAGTAGAGATGAACTGCAGCAAAACTGCAATGATGTAATTGATACCTTCTCTCGGCTATGTCAGGAGAAAAAGCTAATAATTTCTGAGGCAAAATCGAAATATATAATTTATCATAAGCCAGGCCAAACTTTAATAAGAAACCCAACCATCCAGCTTAATGGGAAGACCATCAAAAGGGTCAGAGAACTAAAACTCCTGGGTATTATATTGGATGAAAAGTTCACCTGGCTGCCTCACCTTAAAGCCCAAAGAGAAAAGGCTCGCCGAATCGCAAACAATCTGCAAAAAATGCAAGGCCCGCACTGGGGCCTTCGGCCCAATATCTACAAGATACTTTACTCCACTGTCGCGGAGAGGGTCCTAACCTACGGAGCAGCCATCTGGGCAGCCCCGATGACAGTCAGAAAGGCAAAATTGCTAAGTAGTGCACAGCGACCATTTGTCCTGGCCATAACGAAGACCTACAGGACAACGTCGACTGCGGCCGCTTCGGTATTAGCAGGGCTTATGCCGCTCCCAATCAAAGCGCAGCAAGAAGCCTCAATTGCAAAGGTGACGCAACTCCAACAGCCATGCACATATGGGGATACATGCTATCTGCCAGAAGTCTACGAAACACGCAGGTCCAAACTAAGCACACATCCGTCGGAATATGGACTGGGCATAAGGACTTTCCACTCACCAGCGTTAACCCCGCGCTTAGACGGACCAGGGGCCGTGCTTTATACAGACGGGTCAAAAATTGATAACGCTGTAGGCAGTGCCTATATAGCCTATATAAATGGAAACATAGCAAAGGAATGGAAGGGCCGTCTGGGAGCACAGAACTCAGTGTTCCAAGCGGAAGTAGTTGCCCTCACAAAGGCAGTGAAATGGGCAATTGACACACGGCAGAGTCGAGCTACGATATTTACTGACAGCCTGTCAAGCATTTATGCTATCAACAACCCTCTCCAGCGCTCCGCACTAATCTCGCACCTGCAAGAAGTCCTCCGTCTACAAGAAAAGTCAATGAGAATCCAAATTTCCTGGGTGAAGGCGCACGCCGGAATCCAGGGAAATGAAGCAGCAGACGCTCTTGCCAAGAAGGCTGCCCAAAATGAGGAAACGGAGCAGATTCAGGTGCCCCTGCCCCGGTCATGCCTAAAGAGGCAAATAGAGGAGTCCGCCATTGGAAACTGGCAGAATGAATGGGACCAAATCCCGCAAGGCCGCAGAGCATATGAGTTCCTGCCCAAGGTAGAGGTGGACCGGCTCATCTCATCGCCCTACCTCACGCGATATATAACAGGCCACGGCCCCTTTCCGACGTACTTTGCAGAAAGGGGTCTAGCAACAACTGATATGTGTGTTTGTGGCAACGTGGGCTCACCAGACCATTATGTCACGGAGTGCCCCTTAACAGCAGAATGGCACATAAAATTCCCAACTACCAATGTTCTGCCTTTCAAACGCCTTCTCATAAAACATCGAGGCACGCGGCAAAAGCTTAAATGCATAATGGCCAAACTAGAAAAAATGGGCATAGACCTCTGCAGGCCGGAATAGGGCACCTGCAATAAACATAAAAGCATCTTACAACTGTGAAGACTCAAGATGGTTGCAGGGCCAGGGTAATACCCGAGTAGTCATAGAAAGCCGTCCGGGTGCCCTGTCCTGCTGTCACCTGTCACCTGTCCTTATAAATGACCTCATAACTCCATTATGGTGAAATATGTTTTTGCTTCAGCATGAGGTAAATTATTTTCATTTTGTCTCAATAGTAATATAGATGCTCCTTTAAGATGCCCGTATTCTTGATGAAGTCACTCGTTTTACTTCGATTAAATTGTTAAGTACATAACAAAGTCCTAAAAATATCGCAAACACTTTTCCTACTTCTATTACTCTGTATGTCATTTGGCATGTGCGATTCATCATTTACTGGTAGTTACTGTAAATGGCTAGAAAATTTAATAACTACCTCATTTGTCACTCATAAAGAGTGTCTTACTAAAGGTTCGTTCCTTCGATTGCTTTCGAAATTTCAGATACTTTCTATTTACGTTCGTCCAATACCACAATATATGCAAGATTTCAACAAAGCAGCCCTCTATTTATCTTAATCTCTAAGGTGGTTAGTAAATAAGATATTTTTTCGCCACCTACTAATTACTAGTTTTCTACTTTTATTAAAGGAAAGCTGATTGTAAACGTAATTAAATATGTCTGAAGGTTTTCTTTGTGGCTTAGCTATGATATCTACTAAAAGCGAAATCTTTCCAATTCAATGCAAGTTTGACTTGTTTGTGCTGTAACATTATCAAAATAATCACTTTATTTATTAAATAATGGATTAAATAAACTTAATAACATTAAAAAATGCTGCAAATGTTAAACAAGGTGAACAGCTTTTGAATATTAGGGAAATTTCGGTGAAATTAGCAAGGACCGTCGAAACCCACTGTATACCTGCGAGAATGCAAGATTACGGTATTGCTTCAGCCTGTGTATGTAATTTATGGGACTTATTCCACATAAAACGAAATAACATATTTTAAAATTACATTTTGAAATTCAGACTATAGAGGCATAGTACTTAGAACACAAATTACCGTTAGCTTTTGTTTACCAAACATACTTACATGCACACGTTGTGGTGTTTGAAACAGGTCCCATAGAAAATTTGATATCATCTAAAACCCATCCTGACTTTTGAACGGTGCTTATGAATGCCACCTAAAAGTAAAAACGATTTTTATTATAATCCTGTAACTTATTCTAAAGATACACTTTTTGTTTATGCTACCTGAACAAATTAAATTTTCAAATGTTTTCATTAAGTTTTTAAAGCATTGAATTTTAAGCATGGAATACTTTTATATGACCATTCAAAGTCAAATTGAATGATTAAAGAATAAATCCGTGTTACTTGATTGGCTGATATCAAAAACGGATATTACAAGCTCAAAGTTTATATTTTGGATCTAGACTTAGAAACAGGTAATCGGGCTGGCTGTATGTGCGTTTGGGGATTTTTCCCTTGTGTACCGTTGACCCTTCACGAAAGCATCCCTTCTCTTAAGCAGATAGCGCTCAACTGCCATAATCAAATAAAACAAGAAAAATGAAACTATTCTAATGAAACTTCTGTGTGTTACGCATGATATTTGCTCGTACAGCAGGGTTAATTACTGCTTATTTAAATCTACAACCATATATCTTGGAAATTCTAATGATTCATTTGTTAAACTCAACAGAGTAAACTTATGGATTTTAATTTTGATTTTGGAGCTGTTAATCGGTAAAAATGTGAGATTTTTAAAAAATATACATTCACTGTTATGGTAAATTGAATTATTGCAAGTTCCGTCTGCAGACATGTGAAATAATAGATTACATGTTATCTACCAGTTTCAAACGTAGTAGATACATGCCTACAACCAATTACTTCATTGCACTTTAGAACATGTATACAAGATGGCTGAGACCTTCAGTTTATGTTAGACAATTTTTTAGATAAATTGCGATACATAGAAATTTGTATGGAATTTTGCCTTCCTATTTAAAGTCTGTGGTATCATTTGTCAATATTGTAACTAGCTCGACTTTTCATATTAAACTATTTTGAGACAACAATGGAAAAATATTTCGCATTTTTACGTCATATATACAGGAAAAACAAAATCCGCCAATATCTAAAATTAGTAAAGCTTTTTTTTTAATGAATAACCGATTTGCAGTGGTATTGACTAGCTTAATAAAAAGTTGAAGTTTTTTCTAGCAAAACGCTTGGTCAACAGCAGCAACAAATGAACTGACTCTCTCACCACTGAATATAAGTAGATGACTATTGTTGTTAGCCAGAGGTTTTATACAGAACATAAAACTTCAATTAATCATACTTTATATTAGACTTGTGTATAATATTATAGCAAACATTAATCTGAAAAGAAGAAAACTTTATGAAGGAAAAAATGAGATAGAGATAGTTGTGAAAGAAAAATCTAAGATACATTCTAGACCTATCATTGTTATAAAATATGATCGTAAATGAATATTGGGATAATGTTGCAGAGGTTTATTGAGTAAATAATTCTATTAATCAATTTTGGGTTCTTTAATTAATAAATCTTTCTTTTGGCATGGTCGCTGGCTGCAGCGCCATTTTAATGTTGCATTAGAACTAGAATATAATTTCATGCTATAATTATTTGAAGTATAGTTTTCGCTAAGGTTAGATTATTGTAATGTGATAAATCACACGAGGGCTGTCTGCTTGAGGAGATAGATGCTTTCATGAAGGACTTCCTAAAGGAAACTGGCCCGAATTAATATCACGCATGAAGAAAATCACTGAAACCAACCGAGCAGCCCGCAAGTTCATTTGGGATCGAAGCAGGGTCTAACTTTCAGTATTCAGCGGTCGATCACTAATGGGACTCTTTTTGCTAAAATCGCTAACCTTTGCTCTTAAACGCGGTTTGCAAGGTAAATTTTTATCGTTGGCAAATTTGCGCATATTTTAGCTGCTGCATCTTTAATGGAAGCCTTGTTTTATTATTCTTGCAAAAAGAAATGTTGTTTAATCCTACTTAGTTTAGCACTGCAATATTGCTATAAATCGTAAAATCAATCAAAGTTTAAACAGAGATGAAAACTAATTATGCATTTGTCATAAACAGTAATGGTCAATCTGCACAATTTTACGTAGCTGAAATAATTCTTCTTATATTTTAAGATAATAATTTAGTCAATATTCTTCTAGTATTACGTAGAAATTTTTTCCATCTTAATAATGACAAATAATTATAAAAAGAGGAAAAGAAAGCATTTCTGAATGATATGAGACAGATTTTAGTTTGGTCTGTACATAATATTTTTGACATAATATTTTTAATTAATAAATTTAAATACTGATTAATTTATTTTTCAGGCAATAACTTCATTTAATTATATTTCAGAAAAACATTACTTTCATTTTTTTCCCTCAAAGGAAAACTTTTGTAAACTGTCTATACAAACCGTAAAATTAGAAGACAGAGTCACATTCACTTGACCATACTGATAGTGCGTCTGCAGAGAATTATCTCTGGTAAGTTTCCACAATTCCTGATGAGTGTTGTTATAATGGGCTCGAACTAGGAGAGTGGCTCCCTCTTCGGTTTCCAAAGCTAAATACCAAAAGCTGAGACAGTAGGTGATATTAGGGTTGCCATAGATATGCGAACTCTGTAAAGTGCTGCTGACAGGATTGGGAGTAGAAAAGACATCCATATATACGAAACCGTCTGAAATTATAACAGTTAACAGTGTAAACTATCAGTAATTTAGTAAATCAACGTTAGATCATACATCGTAGCATTTATACTAAATTTCTAGGGCTCACAATTTATTTGTATATACTAAAATTATTTTTAGTATGCTTTCCAGAATCTAAGGTAGAATAAATAGATCGCTCATTTATTAAAGATTTAATAAATTCAAAATAAAATTAAATTATGCAATAAATGAGTGGTTATCTAAAGTCTTCAGCCTAGAGTAACATGGGACCTGAACTCAGGGTTACGAAATATTGATATAGGCGTACGAAAATGGTTTGGTTACATTCTATATCCAAAAATTCGTTGAGACGTTGTGTCTCTACGTTTGCAATCTTCCGAACGTTTTCTAAAATATATCGTAATTTACTGCTATGCAACAATATATACGGTGTTCAGATGTGGCAATGTCTACAGTGTTTTTTTTTGTACTTCAGGTATTTTTTCTCCTTTAATTTTGATAAAAAAAAATATTTGTTCATTTACACAAAATTGGATATAATCTATTTATTTATACTTGGAAACAATATAAGTTTATATTACATTATATATTATTATGAAATAATATATACTATTTTATAATATATATTAGCTTAAAATACCAATTAAAACTTGAAATATCTGTTTGAAATAAATAATACAGACACACACATGTGTGTGTAACATTATTAACACATATACACTTAATGATTAATAACTAGAATACTATAAACTAACATGATAAAAACTCTATATTTATATTGTCACAAACTATTTTTTATAATTTAAGGGTTTCCGAAAACTTTCCAGTTTATGTGAATTTGTTCATTTACATAATGTTCATTTTGTTCATTTTCGAAATCATCTGCAAATTCTATCTATAAAACCTGAAAAGAATCTTTTAACATTTAGTCTTTACTGCTCGGCACAAGTTTTTCTAATGAACTGCATGCATTTTACTGGGATAAAATGTCTTTCAGTTTATGAAAATTCACTTTTTATACTTCTACGAAATAAATATTTTTATGATTATTGAAAGGAAAACATTCTGCGAGAAGGTATCTGTTATTTAAAAAAAATCATGAAATTCAAAGCAGTTCATAACTTTAAATACACTATATTCCTTTTAATATACTGCTATTGATGCTGAAAGTAAACATTTGGTATTCTCCCAATATCTCCAATATTCTGCAATAATACACTGTTTTATGCTGCGTATAAGGAAACTTTCAGCGTGTGAATAAACTGGTGAAATATCTTTTTAATTACATTAGCTTGTTTAAATATTTCAAGGAATTACTCGATGTTAATATAATTAAAAGTAAGCGTCTTTGTTATGGATAGATTATATCAAGAATTTAGAATTTCGCGCGCATATAGTGAATGAAACAGATAAGAGGTACAAAATGCACCCAATTTTATACTGCTATATTTAGTTGTTTCAAAACGTATTTACAAACAATTTGTTGTAAGGAGAGTATTAAAAAAAGAGATATTGAATTTAAGAGAGAAAAATTAAACTCTGTTGCCACTTAAGATAACAGTTATTTGATTTGCTTCCTATTTAAACGCTTTGTAATGTAAACCTGAAATTTATTTTAGAGTATATTGATAGCAAAGATTCTCCGCAAATTCAAGGGGAAAATTGCATGTAAAAAAAGCGATAATCATAAACATTGCTTTTACAAACAATAGTCTGAAAAAGAGGTGACGCCATCTACTATAAAATGGATAAATTAACTAAATGAAATTCGGTAGATCGCCAGCTGGAGAAAATACCAGACGTTTATTCTTTGATTCTCCTTAAAAGCGCTTCGTTTAGAGATATCGGAGAAAGTTATTATGGATAAGGAATGCAAACAGTTATTTATTTGTTAAATAAGATAATATTTTATTTAAATTATTTTATATCTATTGCAGTATATAAATAAATAAATAACTTAAAGTTACTGGATAAAATTTTACACTAAAATAAAACATTTTCTATTTTACATATAAAATCAAAAGCGTTTTGGTGTTCATAATGGCTTTCTGACATCTAATGAAAGAGGGCCGATTAGGCAAACAAGCTAAACTTTTTCCTATTAATAAGAATATGTAAAATTTCTAACTAGTTTAACTCTTTAGTTAAGCTTCCTAAATTTAACTAAAAGATGTAAAATTGGCACTCTTCTCATTTCAACAATAAATTTATGATATAAATGCTTTCTTGCCTCCAAGCACTTGATAGGTATGATCCTTGACCGTTGCCGGCTTTGTATTTCCGGATGGCAGTCGCCATTTGGGACCAGTAGTTGAAGAATTGACCACTTGCCAACCGCAGAGCTCTCGATCGAATGCGCAGTCAGCTGTAAACAATGTAACAGGCCTTAAAAAAGTTAATTAAAATTGCAAAAATCTTTGTTCGAGCTCTCAACCTATATACATGTTATGATAGTGTGGAAAAAAATAAGAAAATACTTACCTGGATGAACTTGGGCTTTGAGAGGTTTAACTGAAAAATGTAAAAATATAATTAGTAATTAGGATTAATATTTATACAAGGAACTAAATTATTTTTATTCTTTCAAGTGAATCAAAGAAGGATATCTGTAGGCAGAATCTAAATTAATTCTTAAAAATTTTATCCTTCGTTTAATAGTTGCTTTTTGCACTCAAATGTAGTGCACAAAAGTTTTAAATATTTGTTTAAACCATCATTTATTCAAAAATTCAAGTACATTGTGAAAATATCATGTATGCAAAAGGTATATTCATGTATGTAGTTTCAATATATATAAATTCAGTAAAAATTTTTAATTGCAAAATCTTTTAACATATCCCATTTAAATCCTCTTAACTAATAAATGCATTCTTTAAAATTCACTCTGTTTACCATAGCGACACTCTGGCGCTAGGGTCACTTAACAGTATTATATTTCGTTCATATTATATAACTCAGAATGCACAAAATTTATATCATTTAAAGAATTATCTAATCGTTGCCACATATTCTATTCAAATAATCGTTGCCACATGTTCTATTCAAATACTATAATAAAGCTAGAACGATGCATAAAAGAAATTAAGCAAACAAAACAAAAAAGAAACAGTTTTTCACAGACGATTGAGTATTTCGCATTCAATTAATCCAGTTCTTACTTCCCCGTCAAAGCAAAAATACATAAAAACTCAAAATATCTGTATTAAAAACTACGAAGTAAATCTTAAACACTTATTTCCTCGAAAAAAATTCCAGAAAAGATTAAGCATGATTTAATTCCCAATAATAAATGAACGCGTTTTTCTTTGTTGTTGCGAAGCTACGTTTCTCTAAATTGGCAACAAATCCACTACTCTGCTGTTTCAAATGTAAATAAGCAATGGCCACCTATTAGGATTAGAGGCACTTAAACAACTTTAAAATTGTTGATAATTCTAAAAATATGGCATACAGAAATATTGCATACATTTGGCATACAAACCTTAATAGGAAGATAAGAACAACATAATTTAATCATTTTTGAAGCAAAAAATGTGCAATTTACAAACATATAAGAGTAAAGAAACTGAGATCACTGAGCCGGGTAACAGAGTGGATATATATATAAATATATTTATGTACGTTTGGTGCGGCCGATTGCAACCAAAATACGAGGTGCACATCTACATGTTATAGCAGTCCTATATACAAAATTTCAACGTTCTGAGGCTACTCGTTTTTGAGTTATGCGAGATACGTACGTACGCACGCACGTACGTACATACGTTCGTACAGACGCCACGAAAAATTCTCTTCAGAATTCATTTTAAAGCAGTTTTATAACTTTTTTTGAAGGAAAAGAGTATTTTATTCTGTCCTTACGTACAGATATCATGCAGAAACATCGTTAAATTGCATTCGATAGCGGTCAAAATGGATATTTTCGTTGAAATATGCTGCCTGAAACTTTTCGTGATTACATTACTTCCTTTTTACTTCGTACAAGGAAGTAATAACATATAATAAAATTTAGTATTCAAACTGCACGAAATTTTTCAGGTCAAAAGAAAATCCAAAGAAGAATTCCACAAAGTCGACTTGGATTTTTTTCTTTCAGCTGAATCAAAGAGTGATATCTTTTAATGAACAATCGTTTGGTACGCGCGAATATAATAGACAAAAGTTTATGTGTTTTTCAAAACATCATTTACACAAGAGTTCAGTTATTTTGTCAAAAACATCATACTTGCAAATATTTCATTTATGTTTTGAATAGTTTGAATATGTATAATAAATGCATCAAGTATTTTTGATTGATAAATTCTTTTTTTTTTATAATTATGTTCTACTCATTAATCAGTATTTTAAAAAGCGAACAAATTTTAGTACAGTAATACTTTGCTTTACACCACCCCAACTTAACACGACTTTAAAGTACGCAGTTTGATATCCACCAGAAAAGCACACAACAGTTGCAAGCTTGACAGAAAGTCTGGCTTCAATTGAAAACTTGTAACAAATTTTAGAGAAAGTGGACTCTAATTAGGAACATGTTCTAACTACAAGGAAAATAATCTAAAAATATCAAGTGATAAGAAAGCTATTGAATGTTCAAAGGAGTTTATTAAAATTTATGAAGTTATAGGTGTAGACACTGTTTTTTGTGTAACACATTTATTTTAAAATTATTTTTCATTTTACATATGTAAATTACAAGAAAGAAAACTACACTTTTGGTTTTACATACTTGTCTTCTAAACAAGTATTTTTTAGACCTTGGTCCTTTTATATAAATTTCATATGCAAAGTTAGGCACGTGTTTTTCCTTTTTCCCACTATTAGCGTTAACTGGGAGTGTTACAGTATTCCAACTATAGGATATCCTTTTGAGTCACAAGAAAATTCAAAGAACAGCTTCTTTATGACAGTGACTATATCATATTAGTGTGCAAAATTTAAGCAACTTTTCTGATTTTGGCCGTAATTCCGCAAACGATCAGCTGAAAGATATACAGTTCATGCTACAGAGGCATAATGTGGTACTTAAAGTATGAGGAAAATATAGTAGCAAAAAAAAAAAAAAATGAATAGAACCCATACAGTATGGAACGAATAGAAAACGCTTTATCAATAGAATGGCTTTGGTACAAAAAACTGTCTGGCCAAGAGAGCAACGAACCAAAGAGCCACAGTAAAGGAGATGATCTCCCCTAATTGCAATTGTTATGTTGCATCGTTTGTCGATAATCAACACCAGATTATTTGATAGTTCTTAGGGAGAGTAAGAGTTCTCATTCTTCCAGAAGCATCTGTTTCAGTTTTCTGGTGTTCTCCGCAGGGTATGACTGTGCGATCAGGCGTCTTCCTAAAGTATTTATACTCATTTATATTCCGCACATATTCAGTGGGATTTAAATCGGGAGAGCTCGCAGGCCAATCCATTTTGTGGATATTTTCACTTTCCAGGAGATCATCAACCACATGAGTCCTGTATAGCCGTGCATTGGTATGTATAAAACCAATTAGTTAGGTTTTATACATTAAACATTAATTTTTATATTAATACATTTATACATTAATTAGTTAAGTCAAACCAATGGCCTTTACGAAGGAATGCACGCTGGGCAGGATCACTTCATTACAGTTACGACCTCCAGTACGTGAAACTCTGTCGAAAATTTTCAGCTCCATTCGCCCGTTCATCTTAGTGCCTCTCGAAACAAGCACGCCACAACTACTGCAACGATCTCTTACTCTGATGTTCTTATCTACTACTCCAATGCTCTCAAGAAGAACAATAAATTTGATAAAATATGGGTTAATGTGCGAGAACGTTAATAGTGCCTATGCATTAATACAGCACTGCTTTGAATAATAACTGTTTTACGCTAACAGCAAACATTGCGGACCTTTCTTTTTTGACGTAACGCAGAACTTCTGAATACAATTTAAAATATAATTCTGACGAAAACGACTAAAACATACAGCTTGGTGGTTTGGGTGTAATACCGGTAAAATAGTACATTATCAGTTACTGTATCAAATTCAGTATGCATTAAAACTATAAAGAAGCTGAAAATTTACTTGGATTCCAAACTGTTATTCAAGAAACATATTTAACAAGTGATTAATTTATTTCCATTCCATGAATGGCAAGCACCTTAAGGTGTACTTAAAGATGAAATATTAGGATAAACTTTCTAAAATTTGCCTTCTTTAAACCAACGTTGCTCCAACATAGGTTCCTATCCTTAAAATAAAAAATAAAAGATCATAAAATTACCTAAATCAATTTCCAAGATTTATTATTAACTGAGGTCATTAAGAACAAATAAGTTCAATGTATTCGAGTCTGCTACACCACGAGTTACTTTCTTTCAGAATTTTCAATGATAAAAATAAGAATTTCTGATGTGTACATCACATGACTTTCTTGTACGGAATATTAAATTATATGCAAATTTCTTGCATTTCACTTAAACATATTGAATTAACAGTTAAAGAATTTCGAATTAAATATATTACTTCGTCTATACCGCATAAACCACAATAGAATATATGCACTCTTTAAAGTTCATTATATTTATTTGCCATGGCAACAATTCGGCGTAGGTTCACTTAACAGCGTTACATCTAATTCATTTTTTAACTCAAAGTGCACAAAAATTATATCACCTGAAGAATTACCATATGTTCTAGTCAAATACTATAAAAAATCTTAAACGACGTATAGAAGAAATTAAACAAATAAAAAAGAAACAGTTTCTCACAGATGATTCAGCGCCGCTTACCTAATGCACACGTGCTATTAATTAATTTAGTTCTCACTTCATGGCAAGGCAAAAATACATAAAAATTCAAAATATTTTCATTTAAAACGGAAACATGTAAAAAACATAAAACACCAATTACAGTTAAAGAATTTTAAAAAATTTACAATTAAAATTTCTACGCAAAAACAAGCTAATAACTTAAATGATAATTCCAGAATGAATTAAGCATAATTTAATTCGCAATAATAAAAGAAGATATTACTTTGTTGTTGCGAAGCTTAGTTTCTCTAGATTGGCAACAAATCCACTATTCTGCTAAGTTTCAAATGTAAACAAATATGACTGCTATGCTAAACAAAAATTAGGCTTAGCCGCTTAAAAAAACTTCATAATTCTACAAATATTGCATACATTTTAACTAAAGGTATAAAAACTTTAACCGGGTGATAAGAACAACATAATTCAATCATTTTTAAAGCAAAAATGCACAATTTACAAACATATAAGCATAAAGAAACCGAGCTAACTGAGCCGAGTAACAGAGTGTATATATACTTTTGGTGCTGCTCATTGCAACCAAATTGGATGATGTACATCTACATGTTATAGCAGTCCTATATACGAGTCCTCGTACAAAATTTCAACTTTCTGAGGCTACTCGTTTTTGAGTTATGCGAGATACATACTACATACATATGTACGTAAGTACAGACGCCATAAAAAAATCTCTTCAGAATTCATTTTAAATCAGTTTTATAATTTTTTTGGGGAAAAGAGTCCTTTATTCTGTCCTTACGTACAGATGTTGTGCAGAAACATCGTTAAATTGCATTGGATAGAAGTCAAAATGGACATTTTCGTTGAAATATTTTTCGCGATTACAATACTTCCTTTTTACTTCGTACAAGGAAGTAAAAACAGTAAATAATTCAGCCTGTTATAAACGTTCTCTAAAAACCAGTCTACACGAGAAGAGAAAAGTTGCCCAGAGCACATTCAAGTGACCTTTGAACACATGTCGCCTGGCAGGATTTCGTCTCGGAAATTTGTATTTAAGTTACCCTAGGCTACTAAGCCATATAGTCAAAGCAGATTGATTTGTATCTTATAGGAGACCTTCATCGGCCTTACATCAAACATAATAATTTTACAAAGCTTTCAAAGCCTTCATTTTTTACAGCTTAATTATTAAATAAGTTGTATTCATTCTATTAGTAATAATGAAAAGGAGGCTTAATAACAGACAAAAATAAGTAACAGTGATTAAAAGTGCCAATAAAATTGCAAAGTGCGAGAAATAGGTGATAAATTAAAAAGTAATAATAATAAAATTAATGAAGCGAGAAAGGAAAAAAAATTTCTACTTGTAAGCAAATATATTTATACGTATATATAACCATTTAGTTTACATAGAAGACAAAATTTAAATCGATTACGTCACCTATAGCATGAAATGTATCATACATTACCGATAATTAGGTATACTATTAAGCTTATCTAAGTACATGAAAGAGGAAAAAGAAATTTTATCCCTTAATAATGTAAAAATAATAATGATTATATTTAAATAATTAATATAAAATTATATAAAAATTAAGTAAATGATGTAAAAATTATGTTTTGCTTACCATAATAAAATAACGTACAATTATTATACGTTACATGTAAAAATTTTAATAATTTTTATATTAACAGAATTCTGTTAATTAAAGAATCACAGAAAAAAAGAAAACATTTATTTGGAGAGAAAAATCCGAAAATATCTCTAGTGGTTTCGAATTAACAATCACCTGGTTCATAAAATTTAATATCTCCGGAAATGTCCCAAGCGATAGGGCTAACCAGACCTAGTCTAAAAGTGAAAAATCAATAACATTTGGAAATTAGAAATACTATCAAATGCAAATAGATGATAAATCAGTGTTTTCCTACTTGTCTGACTTCTCAGAATTTAAGAAAATAATTATCCCTTTAAAAAGAAAAAAATATATATATATTCTAGCAGATTTTATTAATTTTATCAAATAAGGTAAAAAAATTCATCTCGTTATAGCTCACAATAGCAAATGACTTGTATCAAGGTAAAAGCATATTATATTTATAAAGAAATCAATCGAAAATTATGGTCTGAAATAAATATCGCATCATAAATTAAATTTGTTAAAGTTGTAGAGATATTAGGGTATTAAAAGTTATTTTAGCTTATTAACAGTTATATTACAAGTACTTTTTTATAAAAATTAATTTCGATTTATGAAACTATTTTTAATGTGCAATAACTGTAAAATAAATATTATAAATGTTTTTAGTGCGTCGCTTACATCTCTATCAAAATTATTTATTAAGAATGAATTTTAAACAACTCGCATGCTGTTGGAATATATAAGGCTAAAAATACCAATCGTAACAATAAGAGCTTGAAGAAGATAAGAAAGGATACCAAAATTCCACTTACTGGTGCAATTATATGGCGTTGTGAATGTGATATCGTCGACAGCTATAGCAGCTCTTGTATCACCACCTTTTATAGCTTCGATAATTACCTGAATATAAATAACATTTTTATTTACAAATAAATATGGGCAAAGGTAACTAGAAAACTTGATATATAACGAAATGAAAATGCATAGTCTGTCAAAAGATTTAGTAAAGAAATTTTGCATATCAGATCACACACTGAAAATATGTTGACGAGTTGTACTATTCAAAACAAAATTAAATTAAATGAAATTAAAAACACCCAGATTATCAAAACAGTATAAGTCCAAATATTTCTTTGTAAACAGAAAATCATCAGGAAAAAACTGTTTCATACAATACATGTGCATAAGAATCATACATATTTATTGCTACGCGGATTTTAACAGAATAGTGTTATCAATAATTTTTACATATGCGTTACATAACCATTATCTTCTGATGGGAAAAGTTAAATAATTCGGAGTAAATATTTAGGATAACTGAAAAATGTAAATAAATTTATAAATTTCTTGAGCTATTGTAGTTACGCAAACACCTGGTGAAACACTTTGAACAATAATGAAGTTAGCTATAAACAAAAAAGCCAATTTTGAACGTTGCTGCAAAAGGTAAATTTTTTATGGAACATTGAACAAGAATCTTATAGATCAAAATTCGTTTTCTAAAACTTGGGATGTTATAATGTGGGCAAAAAGAGATTTTTTGCTCGATGAAACGCTCAGTTTTTACATTGATCTGTAAACCAATGTAAAAATTTAAAAATAATCCGTTGAACCCAAACCACATATTTATTTTTTTGCAGTTACTTAAGTTAGTACTAGACTCTAAGAATTATACCTATTTCACCTAATTAATGCATAGAAATAGCTACAGTATCGTAGCAGCTACAATAAGCATAAATTGATATACACATAACATAACACGATATTACAATATAATCAATATGCATCAAACTGAGAAATAATTATTAGCACTAAGTATACATTGACAGTATCACACGTAAGTTAGAAGATACGCGCAAGTAACTCTGTATGCGCACATATACACGGCGAATCACCAAGGGTCGAATTTCTAAAGCCAAGGCACATGTGCAGTTTACTCTGGATTTTGTTGATGATGTCTAGATGAGTTATGATTATAAAAAGTTAATATGATTATTAAGAAACTAGGGCAAAGGAATAATCTTTCAGTGCGGAGAATCTTACTCTGTCTGAAGAATTCCAGTGAGATGGCAATGACAGCTGAGAATGAATCCAGTGGGAAGCCTGATGGTTGTCCAGCCTCCAAAGAATCTCGGAAGAATTATCCGAACGCCGGATCTTAACCAGCAAACCTCCTATGGGCACCCCAGCTGTGCTGGCATACATGTAAACCCAGAAGCTAAGACAGTACGTGTAATTTGAATGAGGCAAAGCAGGGCTGATTAATTGGCCTTTGTCTAAGGGTGCATGCTGATAACTTGCAGTGTTGAACATCATGTAAGAATCTAGAATGAAAGTTGCAATCAGTTATCAGAATATTTTTACGAGCAAAATGGTAGTTGAATTCCACGCTGAAAGTAGGCGCTATTTTGAGGTAATAATTTAAAATTAAAATTAAAAACTTATACACTGACTACCAATAAGTATTTGGACACCTATGCAAATGACGATATCTGCGGTCCTAAGGTACGTCACGGACTCCGCCGGTATATATCGTATAGGAAACAGCATCGGCTTTAGTCGCATGTAAGATGCCTCGCAGTTCGGAGCTCTCTGATTTCGAGAAAAGTATATTTATCGGGTATCGCAAATGTGGCCGATCCTTAAGGGACATATCTAGCGATCTGAAGTACCCAAAATCGACAGTGGTCTATGTGATTAAGAAGTGGAAGGTGAGCGGTGATTGTCGGAATGTGCTCCGAGTCGGCAGACCAACGAAACTGGGAGATAGAGACCGACGAGTGCTGTCCAGAGAAATTCGGAAGAACCGCACCCAACCGATGGCCCTCATCTGCGAGGAGTTTCAACAGGCATCCGGGAATATTGTTTCAATGAATACCATCCGTAAGGAAGCACATCTGCTTGGTTTTCATGGTCGTGCTGTTGAAGTTCGGTGGAGGTGGAATTATGGTCTGGGGGTGTTTCTCCTGGTATGGGCTGGGACCCTTGGTCCCCATTCATGGTAAGCTCAACTCCGATGCCTACTGCACTATTTTGGATGACAATGTGCTTCCTACGTTGTGGCAGTTTTACGGGTTGGACCCCTGTTACTTTCAGGACGACAATGCCAATTGTCATGTTTCGACGTTAACCAAGGCTTGGTATGGTGCTAATGGAGTTCATCAAATGGACTGGCCTGCCCAGAGTCCAGACCTGAACCATAGCGAGAACCTCTGGGACGAGTTGCATCGCCGAATTCAGGGGTGCACTACCCGTGCAAAATCGGTGAAGGAACTTCTATGTCTTCTTCAAGCCGAGTGGAAGAAAATACCACTAGCTGTCATACAAAGACTTGTAGAAGTATGCCTTGGAAAGTATGCCTCGGAGGGTCCACGCTGTAATTACCTCTTGTGGAGGCTCTACCAACTATTGATTTTGAATAAAGTTAGTTTTTCTTTTCTATCATAGGTGTCCAAATACTTATCGGTAGTCAGTGTATTTAGTAGTAATACAACAAAGCGGAACAAAAAATCAAATTCTCTCAAAATAGTGTAAACAATATCTGAATTATATTGATAAAAGGAAGGAATTTTTGGAAGTAAAATTATTTGACTTTCCTCTAACAGACACTCTGTATTGTTTTCCCAAATTTTAATGCTTAAAATGAAATAAAAATAAATATAAGCAATTAAAGTAACGAAAGAACAAGGAAGCTCTATTGCCCGCTGCATTTAAATTCGGAAGGACGAAAAGGAAAATAGTATGATAAGATAATGTTTTTACATTCTTTCCATAGCTCGAAAGCCATGGTTTGAAACATAATTATTAACTTAACTTGATTGATTTTGAAGCGTATCGATGCTTCAAAAGTATCTAATTAACCAGTTAGAAGGTATATTACTGCAAATGTTGGCAGATTATTTTTAATTTTCTCATTCAAAATTTTTTTAGGTAAAGCAAAGGTGGAAAAAACGAATTAAATATTAGCACTATATAATATCCACAAGAGTTTATTTAAATGTTTGCCGTATATATCAGACTAAACCTGTTTAATTTTGTTATAATTCCCTTTATAATGAAGTCAAATATATAATTTTATATTACCTTGTCTAGATGCACCAGACATTGATGAGTGGCCTTCTGGGTAAAGAAGCGTACCTTCTCCTGTTGTTCGGCTCCACAAAGAAGGACTCTCGGGTCTCGTCTTTGTGTCCATCTCTTTCCATCCGCAAGAATCCACGATAAACGCGCAATCACCTGAAGATATGAAAATTAGAACAAAAGCATTAAACATGCAATTTAAATTTGGAAAATTTAAAACAATAGCTATCATTGCCACTAAATTATTTATTTAAAAGTATCTAAAGTGTTTACCAACATTAAGTGGCATAATAAGATATACTTTACAAATATTCTTGTATATAAACGGAGTTCCAAAAGATGACAATGAGCTTTATTTGCCTAAATATTGATGTAAGACAAAACGTTTTCTTAATTACGCAGTTTCTTAGGTTAAAGTGCAAATTTTAAGGAAATAGACGTAATATATGTAAAAGATTCCATAAATCACTACTCTTCTTTATTGCATTCGTACGAAAAAAATTTCTGGCTTCCAAAATATTCATTACGTTTTAGTGTAAAACTATAATTGCCTTTGCAGACAGGGGCCCACCAGTGGCCGAGCGGTAAAGTCGCTAAACACTGGTAGTTCGGTCCGAGGTTCGAATCCCGTGAACAGGCTGGCTGCATGGGCGTTTTCGTGGTTTTCCCCATGTGTAACGTGTGTACGAGCCAGTTTCCCTTAGAAAGTCCTCCACGAAGGCATCCCTCCCCTTAGGCAGATAGCCCCCGTGTGCTTTGCCATAATTAAATACACACACACGCCTTTGCAGACAAGATTCGCTGAGATATGCTTAACCAAAACTTTCGAAGGCAGAGTTATAAATTTTATTGATGGATCTTGTTTTCGTAAGGTGAAGTCTTTAATTTACAATTGCTTCCTAAATTTTTCAAAAACATTTTATGTTATGTGTATTATTAAAGTGTAAAATGGTAATCTACGTCAGTATTTCACTCTTGAATATCTCCGCAAATTTTGTTTATAAAGCAGTGAAACATTTTAACAAACTAAATCATCGTGAATACTGTTCCGTTAATTTGAATGTTTAGTTTTAGAATGGGATGTTCCATTAAATTTGAATGTTCAGTTATATTTTCAAGGAACCCTTTACCATATACTGCTTGCATAAAATTCTTCCGCTACTTTTAAGAAATTTGTTAACTTAAATTATCTATTTAAGTTCAGTATTTAAGAAATTACAGTCTGTAAACAATTTCTTTCGAAGGGCTGGGTTTTAAAACATCCTGTAATAATATTTTTAAAATGAATTTTATACACACTAATAGGAAACTAGAATGCCTGTGAATAGTTTAGAAATATGCTTCATTTTCTTGTCACGTTATGTAGATGGTTAATTTCGAAACAATACAGGACGTTCAATTTATATTTAGAAAAATACATAGTTTTATTAACATTGCTTTTAAATATAAAATACGTGTTGAAAAAAGCGTAACATCTGCAATTTATTTAAATCCTATACAAACATAAATTTAGTAGGTAAATATTTCAGCGTTTAATATTCCACTTATGCAAGATATAAGTTCAGTAACAGATATTTAATTCTGATTAAATTAGATATATGAGGATATAAAGTCAGCTTTCAAAACTTAATTTGATTCTATATCTAAGCACTTGTATGTCTGTAGAACTGATCGCAAAAATGTCATTAGGTTTTTTTACTGTATATTATGTCGATGCCCTTTATAGGATATTTTATCGTAAATCATAATTATTAAAACCCCTTTTTTTAAACTACAAACGGATTTGTTTTTATTGTAGTGAAGAAGACATATAATTAACCAGCATACTTTTTTGCCTATTTAAGATAAATATAATATTTTCAATTTTAACCAGTGAGTACACTAACTTAATTTTACATTTAAGCACATTTTTTTGATAATTTACTCCAAACTTTAAAATTAATAATTCTAAATGTTCAGAAATAAAACATAAGCTATTAAAATTTTCCTATTAGGAACCTATGAAGGCCACCCAATAATTTTCGCACTTTTCTATAAACAAAGTAGCAGGGATATACATTTTTACTCATAAGCAGAGGATTAAGAAAGTTATATTTCCTGTTTTATTAATCTTATGTGAGATAGAGTTATTAGGCTCATAATCAGTGAGAAGGCAAAGCAATTATATTGAACTAGATAAATTCTCAACATAAAGTGAAATATTGCAAGAAATAATAAGTGAAACTTAATTATTGCATATGTATCTAAAATTCTTACTAAGTATTGCCTTTGAGAAAAAACTATTACAAAATTTTAAACTTCAAAATTAATTCTCAGGTAACTCACCTGATTTACTGGCCTCTCGTGGTACACCTGTTGGAAATTTCAAGAAGTTAATAAATGACTGGAATAAGAGATTGTTTATAGCAAATTACGCAATTGTATGTAATCTCATAATATCTTTCTTTCTTGAAGTTATGAATTATGTACATTATAGTAAAGGATTATTATGGTTCTATCAGTATAGACAAAATTAATTAAAACTTAATTAATATATAATTTAATTAAATTAAATAAACTTATCTAAAATTTAAATAAACTTTGTTAAAAATTATTTTAACTTGTAAAAGATAACTGTAAGAAAAGTTAAGGTAAACCAGAAATATTATTCAAGAAATAAGAATGAGAAAAAATCGTAAAAAATATAATTTTACATGTAATTCAGCATTTAATTAAAAAACATACTTGGACATGTTCCATTATTTAAAGCTATATCATCTATAGCTATATCACTTTCTCCAGGTAAATTGATTTCAGCTTCAAAAATAACCTGAAAACAAGAGTAAGATTATTACGTAGTAATACAATTCCGACAATATAAGTTTCCTGTGTTTTCTTTGAACATTTAAACTTTCATTAAATCTGAAAATAATGAATTCTTTCAGTTCTGCAAGAAGACTTACTTAATTATGTGCCTTTAAATAAAGTCAGATTTATGAAGGATAAATAGGCTAAAGTTAAACCTTTAAAAAAAAAAGAATACCTAAGTTTCATTACAGAGTTTTTAAACGTTTGTGCTGTGTTATTAACATTTCTTTATGCGGTACTGGTAACACTGAAACCAAACTAATTATTCTTTTATTTCGCTTTCAAATCAAACAAACTTAGAAGAAAATAATGCTTGGACAACGAACTACAGGAAATTTAGGTTTTTTTTACTGCAGTTTACCTTTCCTAGAAATGAAAGTATGGAAATTAATAATAAATCTATACTATTAAATTAATTAATAAATACTGCTAGTAAAGTATTAATAAGATACACTGAAGGACCGATTTCAAAAGACAAACATACTCGCATTTAATAATCAGCAACTTTCTTCGATACAACTTCTTGTGAAAAGTGAAATATGTTTTAAAATAGAAACGATATGAAACACATTTTACCCTAAAAGGCCTTGGAAGAGAAAGTGGTACCTCTCCTTTATACCACTGATCGGGGGTCAAGGTGCCAGTATACAGCTCCCATATAGGATCGCCTGTTGCGTTCGTTGTATTGTCGTACATATATACCCGCAGTGCTCCTATACCAGCACCATACAAAGATGTCCAAAAACTTAAACATAAAGCACTTCCATTCCCTGAAAAATAATTAAAAATTAATATCTTTGTAGTTTTATAATTACATCTGCTTAGAAAGAATCCAGATTGTTTCAAAACTTGGAAAAAATTTTACTTGGAATTATAAAACTATAGTTTCGATTTGTCACGAGCAACGCCTATGTCACCGCTAAATTTAGCAAAAATTTAATTTTAGATTTCAAGATTAGTTATGACGGTATATTCATATTTCTAAATATTTGTTGATATTAGTACATACATGGATATAATCAATCAATGTCGATTGACTCTTTAGCCACTCAAGCTGCGAATAACTGTAGTAAAAAAAAGTTTACAAATTCTAGAAAAACACTTAATAAATTTCCGGTTTACGTCATACGTCGTAAATTCAAAAACCTGAGATCTCTGAGGACGAAACCATAGGCTTCTTTCGGATTTGAGATAAGTCCATTGTCACAGCATTTAAATAGACTCAAATGTTTTTAACTGAAATTTCTACCAGCTGAACATTAACTCATTTCCAAAGCTCATTAAGGTAAAAACGACGTTTTTGGAATGTTATTTCTCTCCTCATGTAGAAATGATGCTTCATATTTTGCAGTTTAAGTTAACTTAAAAAGAAAGAACTGAAAAACTAAACTTCTTGGGTTTAAATCTAAAAACACATACCATGAGGATTCAAAACTGGACTCCACAGCTGAGCTTTATCCCCAGGCTTGTTTGGGAATGATGAATCAATATATGCATAGCCACCTGGTAATAAAATGATATTACAACCATCGTAAGTGCCATAAGAATAAAATATAAATTTAACGCTGAAATATATTTATGTATACTTCATAGAAGATCATTTTGAAATAAATTTAGTGTTATTCATTATATTTCATAAATTTAGCGTTATTCATCATAAAAAATCAATGAAACGTGTTTTAAACCCTGAGAATCTCATTTTTAAAAATTGAAGAGAAAATAAACCACTTTATACCTTTGACTTGAAAAATGCATTTCGTTTTAATAATCCAAAATTGCTTCCCTTAGTTACAGCTGCAGTAAGTGATTTGATTTGCTACTTTTACTTAATTCCTCTAAATTTAGGGGCAAGCAGTATGTTAAGCGCATTATTGCATTTATTCTGAAAACAGATATTTTGAAACAATACTTTCAAGAATGAAATCATTTAAATAATTTTGATAGTTTTCAAGAGTACTTTCACATATAAAATACTATTTCAATTTTAAAGCATATTTAACAGAAGAGATTCAGTTTTAAAAAGTATTTTAATTTTACATTATTTTAATTTGTTCATTAAATAATTCAGTGACACTTTTAATTAAATTTTTAATTTTTTATTAGTATAGTTCTAGTTTAACTAGCATAGTTATAATTAATCTTATGTTAATAGTACAAAATTGAAAAAAATAAGCTTCAGTATTTCATCATTTGTTAATAGATTGCAAAATACGATGTAGAAGGACAGCCGATGTAGAACGTAAATCAATACGATATAACTAAAATACTTTGACACACTTTTTAATAACTGGGGATGCTATAAAACATTGTGCTTCTGATTTTGAAAAATTCCGCTGGAATAATATTTTTCATTTGAAGTTTCTATATTCAGCTGATTTAAAACATCTAGAAGTTGACAGGTAATGTGCATAACATTGTTTATATCATGCAGCTGCAGTACAAATGTGAATGCGAATTAAAAGACAGAAAGATTACCGGTAAATATTAAAAAAATTCTCAAAATAATTACACTGTTTAAATATACTATTTAAGCTACCTGTTTCCCTCCAAGTAACGCTGCTGCCATGATCTCGTGAAGGTCCTGTTACGGAACTACTGCTGCCTCGACCCATTTTCCAGTCAAATTCATCACTTGTGTTGGAATTCGTCCAGTTGCAAAAATCGTTTTCAAATGTGCAGTCTCCTGCAATATTTAAAAAGAGTGATTTCATTGTTCATTATGATAAAATTTTGATTCATTTCAGTGGTTTAAAAATTAACTAGACTTTATTATCATTCGGAAATCGCAACTAACCAGTGCGAAGCTGCAGAAAACAAAATCGGCACTTTTCTGTTATCAGCACAAGATTCACAAATGCATTTATATATGTATGTGTATCTAAAATATAAAATCTAGCTTTCAAATAATAAATTAATATCCCTTTAACTTCTGTTTCATTCTAAAAATAACAGAGCAATAAATTTTCTAAACGAAAAAGATCCGTCATTTAATCTGTATTACGCACTTATTGGTAAGGTCTGAAATCAACACCTATACATTAAACTGTCATGTGATCTGAAATGGAATTCGTATGAAAGCTTAAAAAAAATTACGTCGTAACTCCCTCTTCTTCTCTTCACTCGTCTCTTCTACTGCTTTCCGCTGTGTCGCTAGCTACGCAAAGTTTACCTTCCTAAATTTAGTCCATTCTTTATGAAATGTGAGCTAAACAAAATTGTGGGGTGTATAGCACACCCATAGTAATAATGTGCTTTATCGAAGAAATAAAATTATTTGTAGAATTTAGGCCATGTCTCCAAGTTTTTTAGTTTATGCATCCATCGTTCTAACTACGCAGCAGTCTTCAAGTTATGATGCAGTCCTCTCCGATGCCAATCCGTTGCAACTCTCACCAAGTCATCTTATTTCAATAATAACTCAGTTTTATTTCAATAATGGAGCAGTTTTATTACATGTATGAATAGATGTGTGTATATACACATATGCATATATACATATATATATTCATGCATACACGCACACACATACATATACATGCATACATGCATATATGAATGAAAAAATGCGTGTATACATACATGTATTTCTAAAACCCATCCTGATAACAGAAAAGTACCAAAATATCTGCACGATGATTACGAGAAAAATCACACAAACTCTATGTAGCCAGCATGTTCTTCCCCTGAGATCGTAAGACGACATTAAAGTCGAAGAAATATAGTATTTCAACTGTAAACGAATATGTCCTCTTAACTCAATGTATAAGAGGGTTTTCCACATTGTTTTCCAAAGTAGTGGGCCAGAAATGAGCTTTGGGAAAGATCTTAGGTGTAGACTTTCCTAACGTTAATAATTCCGTCATTAAGAACAAATGAATTATTACTCAAATAATCTTAAAAAAGACAGAAGAAATCCCCAGGAAAATTAATTATCTTTAACTGATGTAAAACACCAAGCCACCAAAGATTGCTTAACATCCTAGGTAACTAGTGCTGAATGTCTCTTTTGAATTATATTTTTCTCAATATTCTTTAAGAGATCAGAAATAGACAATGTGGTGCTTTTTCCCTGCATAAACCCACATTGTCTTTCATTTAAAGAGAAGGAAAGTCCTAAAAATTAATTAAGATGCTTATCCAATATTTTAACCGGCTTGAAAAAGGAAGGTCCAAATGCGCCTAAAGGAATATGGATTTTCTTCATTTCTCCCTTCCTTATTAAACAAAGCCAAACTGCCTTTCCTCCATTTGTTAGGGACAAGTCCTTTGCAAATACAGGTGTTATGGATTCTACAAAAGAAAGTTGGACATCATTCAAGGGTATCTTCCATTATTATCCGTATAAAATCCATCGTTAGTAGGGGGATCGCCCTTTTTTATATTTTTTATCATCTCATCTTTACTAAACTCTAAGTGATCCAGTTGGCTATCATTAAATCTGCAGTACTTATGGACTTCACTCTCCTCATCATTATCAGTCAAATCGACATTATCTGGAATGTCCTACTTCAGAGGATAATTATTAGTCTCTATAACTGTACTACTGGCATTAATATCGTCCTCTTTTTTCAATGAGCTAATAAGCAATGCTTTTCTGTGCTTGTTCATAGAAACACAATAAGTAAAAGGATCCTTAATATTTAAAGCAGAACACAGTTTCCCCAAGAATAATTTTGTGCGCTATTCATCTCTCTTTCATAAAGAACTAAAGATTTTAAAAACCTTGTCTTCAGCACATCCGATCATATCACTATGAACAAATCTCGATGTTAGCAAGGAATCTGGATCACTGAAGATGTTTAAAAAACTAGGATTTGAAAATTCAGTTGCTTTCGAAAGTTTGAGATGGATGTTTCGAAAGTTTGAATTTGTGGACCCGGCAAATAGTGTTTTGCGTCAAGATCAGAAATGAACAATACATTTACCTCTTCATCAGTGATAATGCTCGAAATAGTGCCAAACGGTCATCGAGATCACCATGAACAGAACAATAAACAGAAATCATTAGTAAATCACGTACTACAAAATTAATTTCACTGATACTATATTTTATATTTTCACACACTTCAATTCTGAGTAATAGAAATATTTCTATTGAAGCTAATAATACCCGCTAATGGTTTAGCACTTGCACACTGATAAATAGGAAATTTAGCAGGAATACCTTTAATTTTATTCTCAACGACATAAAGCTCTTAAATCAGAGAAAATGTATAATTTTGAACAACACTTTTAAGATGTAACTCAGACTTGGCGGTCTTTGCGTGATACAGATAAATTTGAACTTAAGAGAACTAGTATCCATAATTAGTCCTTCGAATTAATAGGTCTATTTGCCTTTTCAAAAGGAGCACTTCTTACAATTGAATGCCTTATGTCCAAGTATAGCTTGTACCTTGAATTGGTATTCTTACAGTTAACACATTCTAGAGAAATTTTTATTTATGGCCGATAACAGAGCATCGGACACATATGAATTCTTTAGTACAATTTGTTTAAAAGTGTCCAAATCCCTAACACTTGTAGCATCTCACTATTTTGATGTATTCCTTCACATATATCCTTTCCCATTTGACACTAATCTTACCATTGTTTTTACCATTACTAACCTTACCATTAATTAGATTTGTTTCCAAAGGCTTTTGGTTTCTGAAAACTCATACGACTGTTCATATGCGTTAAGTTTCTCTTTCTTTAAAGTTACTGTTACTCTTGAGGAATCCTCCCCAACTTCTTCTATATCAAAGTTTATGGTTCGAGTCTTCGCAATAAGTTAACTATCATCTACAACAGACTTTGCCTGCGTCTCAATATCCATCTTGGATTTTATTCACCAACCGAGACTCTGAGGTTTCCCTGGATTCAGAGTGGAATTTCGTGTTCAACATCCGTCCAACAAGGTGGCAACAACATCCGTCCAAAGCATGGCAGGATCCTGATTTCTTGACATGTATGCTTTGAAAAATAAAAGAAGAAAATCCAATAAATCATTACAGAAATCCAATAAATCATTATAAAAATTTTCGCCTTCGCTAGAGACACTAAGCTTTCAACTACACTCATGTCCATAAATTAAGGATAATTTGGAGTCACGTGGAAATCGAACTCTAAAATAAATATATCACCTGTAAAATCACTACACACATCTTCAAGAATCATATGCAAATTTCAGGAAGTAACCAGATGACACTGATGGTACGTCACAATGACGAGAGTGTAAGAGAGTGATATATAAGGAATACAGGCAAAGAAGTAAAATTGTTCGCAGGCGCTTTATAAGCATTTCAGTGCAATAACCGAATAGTTATGACACAAAGGAGGCATTTGGATGATTTTTTACGTGGTAGAATTATCGGCCGTCTGGAATGTGGGCGTACCCAACTGGAAGTATCAGACGAACTTGGAATTGCCCAGAGTGTCATCTCCAGGCTTTGGCAACGATTCCAAGATGATGGTAATGTGAGTAGACGTTACAGCACAGGTCGCCCCAGAGTTACAACGCCGAATGAGGACCGGTATTTGGCAGTTACTGCCAAAACAAACAGGCGGAGCACAGCCTCAGACCTGTCTCGTCAGCTCTCTTCAGCCACTGGTACGACAATTTCAAGGCAGACCGTGTACAGACGCTTAGGGCAGATTGGTCTATATGCTTCGTAGACCTGTCAGATGCGTTCCACTTACTGCAACTCACTGTCGCCTGCGGTTAGCCTGGAGTAGAGAGCATGCATTGTGGACACCGCAACAGTGGGCTTGTGTGATGTTTTCCGACGAGTCCAGGTTTAGCTTGCAGTCTGATTCTCGCCGGACTTTCATATGGAGAGCTCCAGGTACCCGTTACCACTAAGAAAACATCATTGAACGACACCGTTACGGTGGTGCAGGAGTGCTCGTATGGAGTGGAATTATTCTGGGTTCCAGAACTGACCTGCACGTTCAAATTGGAACCATGACAAGCCAACTCTATCGGGACGTCATTCTGGAACAACATGTTCTGGAACAACATTTTGAGAATTGTTTCGGGGCGCCATGGGCGAACAATTTGTGTTTATGGATGACAACGCCCGTCCTCACCGTGCAAACATCGTAAGCGAATGCCTTCAATCGGAGGATATCACCCGTATGGACTGGCCAGCATTCTCACCGAACTTGAATCCAGTAGAGCACGTGTGGGACATGCTTGGCCGACGAGTTGCAGCCCGTCAACCTCCTCCTACATGTCTACCGGAACTTCGGAGAGCATTGCTTTTTGAGTGGTGTAATATCCCCCAAGATCAGATCGATAATTTGATACTCAGCATGCCTAGGCGTTGTACGGACTGTATTGCATCGTCTGGGAGACATACAATGTATTAACAATCATACCAACCATGTAATATTGGTTTTTTGTAAATAGGTTTTTTTTTGTAATTTGCTCCAGGGAGAAAAAAAATCGCTAATTTTTTTAATAATATCAAACATATAGCATCTTTTTTTGCTCTTTACCTTTTGTTTAATAAATAAGCTTTACAAATAAGTCAAATTTGGTTTGCTTCTAACTCTTCCTTTGACTGATTTTGCATTATCCTTAATTTATGGACATGAGTGTATATTAACTCATCCTGGGGTGAGTTATTCTTTATCTATGATATTCAGTGTAACGGAGATGACTATATAATATATTTCGTCATCGCTTCCCTGGTGCATTGAGCTTTTCATTTTCTTGCGCAGTTTAGCATTTATTCTGAATGCGACTTTCAAATACTAGTGTTGAAGTTGGTCTCATTTTCTACCGCTGATTTCCATTTTCCCCCTTTTTTCATACACTGGTGATTTCATTACTTGTAATTTTAGCTTTTAATTTTCAATTGTAATTAATACAGATTTAAGAATAGATATAACAAAAAATATAGAAAAAATATACAATAGATAGAAGTGGAATGAGAAATAACTTAACCTGGGCAAAATCCATCCATCAAGAAGATATCATCTACTGCTACATAACCTCTGCGTTTCAAATACTTTTCTCTCGGGAAAGCTTCCATAACAAGCTACAAATAAAAATATTTGAGGATATTAAAAGAAAAATATATTTTTTAAAGAATTATGTAGACGATCTTTATCTCTTGCATTATTTTCTTAAATGTACCGAAATCTTCTGTAAATTATTCTTTTCACTCAAGTTAGTTCGTAACTTAAAACTTTTCCCTGAAATATTTAGCAGTCAAGAAAAACTTCAAATCATTTGTTTGTATAGATTAATAAATTATGCATAAAAGTATGAGAAAATCCATAAATTCTTTAAGACAATATTAATTAGCACCTTCATACTTAATAGATGCAACCTTTGTAATAAGCATGCATATTTTCTTGAAATTTTGTTTTATTCATGTTTTGATTTTAAGAATAATCTATACGGCTTTGATTCAAATATTTAAATTTAATTAAATTCTAAAGCAAAAAACTCCTATCTTTCATCAGCTAATTCTTTGAAAGACTATGAATAGTTTAAACGCTTTCAGTAAAGATTTAATGTTAGTGTCAATAATCAAGTAGTGATATTTGCGATTGCGGATACTAACGCATATCTGTGACTACTAGATATCGATCTAATCTGATTTTTTCCAATAACATAAAAATTTGAGATTTTATTTAAACATATATCAGAGTCTAAAAGCCTCCAAAGCCAAAAATATCTGCACATCTAACGGCAAATGGCACGGCGGTTAGATTTCTAAAACGTGCCGTATTATGCGAATTCGAAGTCTGGGAACCAAAGAACTAGTAACAAATTCAAGCTTAAGTCGCAAAATTTCAACAAAAATCCTATTTTTTATTATTTATTAAAACGACAATTGATCAAAAGAATTAGATATTTACACTACTCATTTTTTTTTTTATTTTGCTGCTAATCATTATTAAACGACGATGTATTTTTTTAGCGAACCGTTCTCATCTTTTGAGGTTTCTTCAGCAGAACCTTGCTTCCTATTCTCATCCTGTTTTTTCAAAAACTTTACTATCTTTCTTGGCTTTCGTTCAGAAAAGAAGTCTTCAAAAATTTCATTGAATTCATTTCAGCACTTTAGAAATTTTCTTTTAAATTTTGTTCTCCTTTCAGCCGAAAAATCTTAACTCTAGGTGACCAGAAAAAAGCGGCTTATTTAACTATTTCTTCTTTTTTATTTCCCTGGTCTTTTAAATTTTTTCCTCACAAGAATTTCTCTTAGTTATGTTATATTTTAATATGGTATTATGTCGAAACATCGATAATTTTGCCGATGGTGCTCGGTTGTGGCACCATCGGTTTGTCCTTGGACGAGCCGTATTCGATCGAAACAGTTTTGTAAAAATGCATTGTTTAAAACGATTCTCTAATTTATCGAGCTGTGTTAGAGTGAGATACTGTTATACGAAAGACGTGTTTAATGGAGGTTGTCTCTATAATGTAATATCTTCTGAATAAAATTATCGTTGTGATTGCAGTTTCTGACACTTACTTTCACAATTCTGTATACGTAGGCAAATAACTATTCATGCATTTTCAAAATATTACCTTAATTTCTTGAAGATATTTCAAGATAAAAATATATTTCAACATCAGCATAACATATTTGAAGATGATGATTTTTTAAAGGCCTCACGAAAACTATTCTGTGCCATATATATAGATATGTGCCATATACAGCTTTGCAAGTCAGAGGGTTAACAAAAATACGTTATGTAATTAGTAGAGTTTAACATGTATTTTTCATCTATCCTAAGGCTGCTTAAAATGAAAGTGTTAAGAGTTGTAAACAGTAATACTACATTGTATTTTAAATTATGACAAAGAGAATATTTGTTTTGTATCTGCCTTTTGTTTAAATTCGAGAGTTTTTGCCTAGTAAATCGAATTACTCAGTTTTTCTAAAATAATTTTTAGCGTATTTTGATCAGGACCATGACTACCGTTTTTATGCCAAACTTTTCGATTTTAATTGCCTTAGTTTTGAGTCCCTTGAATTGTGGAAATATTTTGATTAATTGATAGATGGCGCTAGCGTTGCGTGTTAACGCGACGCGACGTGCCTTCTGAATTTCCATAGACTCTCCACCGGCAGCTCGATAGATGGATGTCTGATGGTTCGCACACTATTTGATTAGGAACACTTCGGTTCCTATTTGATTTCGATTTTCGATTATGAAAGCATATAGATTTATTTGTCAACTGAACCACCATGTTTGATCTATGATCTGTAAATATTGTACATATTAAAAGTTACATTTTAAAAGTGATTGATGTCGATTTATAGATCTTAGAATATTTTGAAACAGCTGGTGCATTAGGCCGTCAAGAATTGGATTTAGCACGTTGCAAGTGTGCGAAGTCAGAAAAAGGTAAGGCTAAATTTTCTAATTTGTAGAGTAACTATGGCGGAAGAGTCTGTTGTTAAATTAAAATCGAAACGCAAAGTTATCAGGACCACCGTGTCCAAGATTCTAAAAAAAATCGAATCGGAGTTGAATAAAGAAGAAATTGATACAAGTACATTAGAAGAAAATTTAGATCAATTAATCACGAAATCAAAAGCTCTGAGTGAGTTAGATGCTCAGATAGAGCGTGACTTGAAATCAGAGGCAGAAGAGTTTGAAACAGAAATTCTATCTTGTATCGAATACGAAGAGAAAATTCAGTTATGGCAATTCAGAGCAAATAAAAAATTGAAAGAATTGAATAAAGTAACAAATTCGGATAATGAAAACTCTCTTAACGAAACTAATTCTAAAATCGAAAGCAATAAATGTACGCGTCTGCCAAAATTAACCATCGCTAAATTCTATGGAGATTACACCCAGTGGACAAGTTTTTGGAACTCTTTCAAGGTAGCAATCCATGATAATGAATCTTTAACAAAGATCGAAAAATTTAATTATTTAAAATCGTACTTATGCGGCAACGCTGCAAACGCGATAGAAGGCTTTTTGCATTTCGGAACCAAATTACGATGAAGTTGTCGAAATACTTAAAAACAGGTTTGGCAGAAAAGATATAATTATAAACTCACACATGCAAAAACTCCTGAATCTTACCCCAGTAACCAAATCCAGTGACACTGTTAAAACTTCGCAAACTTTGTGACACTATCGAAACTCAAATACGCAGCTTGAAATCATTAGAAGTCACACCGGATAAATACAGTTATATGTTGATTCCAGCCATAATGAAAACTCTGCCGTCTGATATAACCTTAGAATTCAATCGTAAAACGGATTCGTCATCCTTTTTTAATGTTGACGAATTATTGCAGTTTGTTCGTTTAGAATTGGAAAGTCGCGAGAGAAGCCATCTTTTGCTCTCCACTCATAAATCAGAAAGCACTTCCTGTGTTTATAAAGAGAAGGGTGGGAAGGGGAGTATCGTCCATTCCACTCAGCAGCTGCTGGCGCCGGTTAAAGAAAACAAAACTACTAATTGCTGTCTGTTTTGTAATACATCCAAACATGTTACTGAAGACTGTGAATCACTGACAGTTGATGAGAAGAGAAATTTATTACGTAAACATGCCCGATGTTACCTTTGCCTGAAATCAAACCACCGCCTAAAGCAGTGTCGAAGCGATCTCGTCTGCTCCAAGTGCAAAGGTCGACATAACCGTTCAATATGCTTTCGCGCTGAGAAAGAACGAAATGAAAAAAATAAAAGTATAGAAGATTCGCATGTTCTTTCAGCATTCTCACGCAGCAAAATTAAAACTATTTCACTTCAAACGTGTTGCGTAACACTTCGAACAACTACGCAGTCGGTTTTAATTAGAGCTCTACTGGATTCAGGTAGTATGCGTTCCTTCCTAAGAAAAGAAATCGCGGATAAATTGAAGCTTCCTGTTATTCGAACAGAGACTCTTTCGGTATTTACGTTTGGAAATAAAACACCCATTAGAAAAACATTTGACGTTGTTAAGATAAAATTACAGAACAAGGAAACACCGAATTTGAAAATCGAAATTGAAGCTCTCGTGACTGAACAAATTTCAAGTTCTGATTTACCACCTCCTAATCTGGATAGACACATTTTAGGCAAACAGTTAGAAGGTTTACAACTCGCAGATTCTTGGGATTGCAAAGAAAAAATTACTCTTTTGATAGGAGCTGATCATTATTATGATGTAGTAACTGGGAAACTTAAGCGTTTAAACAAACATTTAGTAGCTGCTGAAACGTTATTCGGTTGGTCTCTGCTAGGTTACACTAAAGGTACAACACACACGTCCACAGCCTTTAATATCATAGTTGAGGAAGATATAATATCTGATCAGATAAAGAAATTTTGGGAGCTTGAAAGTTTAGGTATTAAAACCTGAAAATGAATTATCCGACCCATTAGACAATACCATAATGGAAAAATTCGAATCGGAAATTTTATACAAAATTCTCGTTACAAGGTTAGGCTGCCATGGAAGTCTGATAGAAAATATGAGTTACATGACAATAAAGCGATTGCGCTGAAACGATTTGAGAAACTTGTAAAGCGATTTCAGAATAACCCTGAACTCTTTTATTCGTATCAAACAGTTCTACAAGATTATTTACAACAAAACATCATTGAACCAGTTCCAGACACTGTTGATAGTGAATCTCAAATCACATTTTATTTGCCTCACAGAGAAATCGTTCGTAGTGATCGAACTACTAGTAAACTACGTATCGTATTCGACGCGTCTTCACATGGACCTGGTGAAATCTCGTTAAATGACTGCTTGCATATTGGTCCAAATTTGTATCCTGACATTCTTGAACTTCTGTTGGCCTTCAGGCTTCATCCTGTAGCATTTACAAGTGACATAAAGCAGGCTTTTCTTCAGATAGAAGTAGATGAGAAGGACAGAGATGTAACGCGTTTTCTGTTTACTAAAAACCCATTCGATGATCCACAAAATTTTATAACTTATCGGTTCACACGTGTGTTATTTGGCGTAAATAGCAGTCCATTTTTACTGGCTGCAACCATTAAACACCATTTGAAACAATATGAGAAAACCTACCCTGCCACTTGCGAATTTCTAAATGA